ACGGCTTCAATACTTGAGGGTTCTGAAGCCTGTTTCTCGAAAGTCCCGGTAACTTAACGGGCTCGAAGCCATATTTTAAAATTAAAATATAAAGAATAGTGAAGCAGTTTATGGCACCCTAACCATTTCATTTTGTGTCTTAAGCTGGTAGTTTTATTGTACAACTTTCAAAAATTTTGAAACCATCTTCTTGAATTGAAACAAAACAGCTTTACGGGCCGCGCAGTTACCGATGAATATGATGCGGGAATGAATGTCTTGTCATGTGGTTGATCTTCAAACTTTTTCACTGATGTTTCACTTCCAATTTTAAGTGTTAAAATTGTGCTTCTTCTGTAGGTACTTGACTCGATATTCAAAGAATGCAAAAAAGAAAACCCAACGTACAAGAGAGCCGCATTAAAGTGCTTCGGAGAAATCGTCCAGGAATATTCTATCGATAGATTTCAACAACTCTCCGAACTTTTATTTCCTATTATAGCTCCTGTAAGTATTCTGTTGGTTCACCATTTATCATCCAAAGGTTATTTCAATTTGACGGATTCTTTCCGATAAATTAAAATTGTGAACAGTTACCTTAAACTCAGAAATGGCCCCCCTTTCGTCTAGTGCTTCATGGTTCTAGTTAGTCCTTCCTCACCAAAAATAGCAAAATGATAATGTTACTATACTATTGTCAGAATGGTCATACCTTAGTGTTGTTATTTTTCAATTCTATGGGACGTTAAAAAATTGATAAATAAATAAATATATTAATATGTTAATATGTATATACTTGTCTTTGAAAGCCTCAATTAGTTTCCATGCTATAAAATTTGTTCGTCTTTCAAATCAAGAAATGGATGTAGTATAATTGACATACTGACTCAAAGCTCATATGAAAGATAATGGCATTTTTGCTGGTTTTAATCAAATTTCTACTACCCTTTATAATAAGCCCGGCGAAGCACGGTCTCTTTTTTTCACCTCAGGATTCTTTTTGGCAATCGCTTGAATTTCAGTTCACTTACAAAGATCATTGCTTTACTTGAAAGGTACATTTCCCGTTAAATTCAAATACTCGCCTTTTAATCCTGCTGCAAATGTATGCTTGAATCTCTGACTGTGAGGAACTCAATTATCAATGATCCTTGGATGTTTTGCTTGTCCAACTTACAGGAGCCAAAGGAGGAGGAAGAAGGCGAGGAAGAAAATGGAGACGAGGAAGAGAAGGACAAGAAAGTGGATCAAGAGTTCTTGGTTTGTTCTTTTGAGTGTCTGGGACAGGCGTGGCCAAAGAATTCCACCGACTCCCAAGGTCAGGTTTCTTTTCCCACTTTAGCTTACGCATCGTAACAAAATGGTAGTTGTCGTAATATTAGCTGCCAGCTAACATTGCTTGGTGTTTTTGACCAGCCAATGTGACCGCTTATATTCCCTATAGGGTAACGAGAAATTACCCCTATAGGGTAACGAGAAATTACCACAGTTGAACCATTTTTCTCCTTCATCTTCATTTAACAGACAAACACGGAGAGCGTTTTTGTTCCATACTTACTGCAGCCCTTACTTCAAACACTTGGAAAGTTCAAGTCGTGGTTTTAGCAGCCATTAAATTATTTATAGAAAGGTTGGTGGAAATTGTTTCGTTTGTTTGGCTGCTGCTGATTTTACGGTAAAGCAGCTTCACTCCGCTATGCAGTTGGTTTTGACATGAGTAAATTGACGCCAACGGTTTTTTTTGTCGTCGGATAATTCCACTTTTAAAAAAATGTACGGAGCGCCTTGACATGGTTGTGGATGTTTGTTGATCCACCTACAAATGAAACTGCAAACCGCGAAATTGATTATAACTGATCATACGTGAACAAACCTTGCAGTTAAACCGAAGTAAGTTTAAATAAGTCATTTTATGATCTTTGTCAAAAACTTCTCGAGTTCACCTGCCTAACAGAGATCTTCATGTTTCTAAAATCATGAAGTTGTAACTGTTGATTTTATTTTTGGTATTTATATGTTCTTGTCCATTTTCTTTTTCTTCCTCGCGTTTTGGACGTGTTTGCTAATACATCACATTTTACTCTTCTGTTTTTCTTTTCGTTACATTCCGTTCCGTTATACTCCTTAAAGTTGGTTTCCCTCTTCCTCGTTTTGCTGTTTTTTGGCTCGGTAGCCAAGGCCCGCTAATTTTACGCGCCCGAAGTAATAGTTCAAATCTAATTCTCCAAAACAAGTCCATTCTGTTTCGTTTCTTGATCTCGATAATTTTACAATTTTAAAAGTGTCAATCTCTTGATCTTGGAAGAAAAACTGCAAATAAAAATAAACTTTTTGAACCCGGAGAAACGGACCCCTTTTCTTCTTTCTATTTATAGTTGTGGAAACGGTAGTTTTCAACATTTTTATTTTGCTATTTTTTTTTTCATTATTCTTTATTTTCCAGGATGAATTGGGTCAATGGAACACCCGATGGCTCGGGAGAAGAGAGTATCGAGAGAATAACTATGTTAAGAAACACCCTCGGACAATTTGTTCCACCAGTTTGCGAATGTTTAGGTTTGCTTGATTTTAATGATGTTACAATTTGTTTTAGATGAGTGTCATACGTATATGGCTCTAGTATTTTGAAATGGTTCACCTAGTCTTTTGGGATACGGAGTGACAAAGAACCTTTTTTTTCCAAGATCGTAGTCTGTAAACCCTTTTGATCTTTTCCTTTCCATAATCTTAGGTTTTTCTCACCTCTTGGTGCTTGTGTGCTCGTGCAAATAATTATTTCAAGGTTTTATTTGGTGTGGAAGTAATATCCTGACGCTTAAAAACTAGCCAAATGTAGGAAAATAGCTCCCTTTAGGTTGGGATGTTCCCGTCTTCGACGTTTGTCCCTCAAGGTAACTTGTAGTTTGTCATATTCTTCTGGGCGGTGTGGGAGCGCATTGAAATTGCCCAACTCTGAATTTTCTGTAGCAAATAACCCGACTATGACAGATGTTGTTTCAGAAAGTTAGAAACTGTTTCAACTCGACAAATCAACAGTGCTACAAGCTTTTGAACTTACGTTAGTTTTCAAGGATCTTAAAACACCTGAACATAAGTAAATTGAATAGCGCGTTTCAATCCCTCCCTTCTATGTACATATTTTAATGTGTTTTGCTGCTTTATTTTTTTCACAGAGGTTAAGAAGTATGCTGCGGTGCGGTTGGGATCAGTTGAAGTTCTAGAGACAATGCACTCAGCTCTACAAGGTTAACTGATTTAGTCTAAGCATCCAGTACAGAAGAGTCATTTCAATGAATTTCATCATCATCATCATTGCTCGTTGCGCCAATAGGTTCATAAGGGCTGTCACATTGTCCTCCCACCCCTCCCCCCCCCCGTGGGGTTTATGTCGCCGCCTTAGGGAATTAAGTCAAACAAAATTATCTCCTGCCCTCTTTTCTTAGGGTGGGTTAGTACTCGAGATGACCACTTTTCAAATGCACTTCTGTGGTTTAATTGCCTTGGGCAACGTGTTATTCTGTAATCAGGAAAGTCTCTCACTTTCCCGCTGGCGCAGCATACCAGTCTTTTTTTCCCTAGAAAATCATCAATAACTTGTTTCTTACATTAATTTTTTCAGGTCACATCCGCTTATCACTGCTGACGGAAGAACTAAAGGAACTTATATTAGACAGTCTGAAATACGTTTACAGTGACAAGGAACCTAACATCCGGGATAAAGCCCTAGAACTTAAAAACAAATTTCTCTCTCTTGGCTTCTCTGGTTCATAGCGTTAAAAACACGTCCAGTTATAATACGGAGTGAAGACGTGAATGGTGTGCAATCTGACATGGACCACCTTTCAAAGATACTGCACTTACCGAGAGGCCGCGGGTTGCGACTGCGCTTGGCCACTCAAGCGTGTTTAGCCGGCACTCGATCGATTTAGTCGGATAGGAAGGTGAAAACGCGCTCGTTTGCATCGATCAATTATTTATTTTCCCTTTGGGAAAACTGAAGCAATCAAGGGTTCAACTTTGTGTAAAACTAGAAAATCGCTTTCGGAAAAAATTTACGTCAATCAAGAAAAAAATATTGTTTCTGTTTCCATATTGATAAAATCAAAGATAAATGCAGTCTGCGAAGCATTGAAACAGCTTGTTAGATAATAAAATTATCACGATCGCTGAGCTCAAGTAGTCTTTGTAGTCCTTTATGATGGGTAGTGTTGACTCCATTAAAACACTTGTGCCATTAAAGTGAGCTAATTTACAAGCAATCCTCCGCCAAAGGTGAACTGCTCTTTGGAAACGAACTAAATAGTACTCTAAACAGGACCTTAATGGGATGATGGCTCTTACGGCTAACGGTTAAAATTATGGCTATTTTCTGGGTAACAGGTAATAGCATTCCATCGTTGTCACCAGAATCTTTTGTTACGATTAACTTTTTTACTACCAACGGTTAAAATTTGTCAATTTTTTGGTTAACGGCTAAATGTTTGGGCCGTTTTACGGCTATCGGTTAACCCCATTGAGTCCCTAAGCCACGCCTCTTATATGAACATTACTTCACTTAGAGGAAGATTTTTTTTGTCATGTCACGAGCGCGTGGGACAAACAAAATTAGTGTCCCTATGAGGAATTGAACCACTCTAACACTGAGCCACATAGTGTTTATGGTGAGCAAGGCCCAATACGAAGTTCATCATATGACACGCGTCTTGCATACTGCTAGGATCAGCAATGTTTTATACATTAGTCAGTGGAAATTCCTCACCGGTGGAGGCTTCGTATATCTGTTCTGTGGTATGTCACGCAACGCCGCCGACGACGCACTGAACTTGCACCGAGACTGGTGCGAAAACCTAAGGAGTTAAAATTACGTACGTATTCCGCTTTCAGTGCACTTTTCCAAGTTTATGGGGGCCGTAGATACAAAGAAATAGCCACCACCCTACCCTAGGCCTGCTCATTTTCAATTCAACGCCTGCAATGTGTTTGAGGTAATTTTAAAAGGTCATGCGCTCTGTGGACCGGCAAGTTGAAACGTGTCCTTCGGAAAGTTGAGATAGGGTGACGAATCTCTGCGATCACAGCGGTTATTTAAAAGAACTATGTCCAGTTACGAGAATCCTTACTACCAAGGTAATAATTCATTCTATCAGGATGGTTTCTACGCGACGAATTACGATCAAAACACGTCAGTGCCGTATGAAAATTACGGCCCTCAAAATGGCGGAGGGAATTCGAACGGTGGATTTTACAACAACTATTACAATGGAAGCAATCAGTTTCAATCGCCTTACACGGGGAACATGAATCAAGGAATTACGCAAGTCGATGAAGCCCATGGCACAGATTTTGGCGATGAACCGCCATTACTCGAAGAGTTAGGGATCAACTTTGAACATATTTGGCAGAAGACACTTTCAGTTTTGAATCCGTTTAAAACGACTGATTCGCATATTATGGATGACACGGATCTCACAGGACCTCTACTGTTTTGTCTGGCATTTGGAGGTTTCCTGCTACTCCATGGTAAAGTTCAGTTTGGTTATATCTACGGTTTCAGTGCGCTGGGATGTGGGGCCATGTATATTGTTCTTAATTTGATGAGTCTCACTGGAGTGTCCGTTGGATGTGTTATAAGTGTCCTTGGTTACTGTCTACTACCCATGGTGGGACTGTCTGGTGTGTCACTGGTTATGTCACTTCAAGGATATCTCGGATCAATTCTCACAGCAGTTGTAATTGGTTGGTGTAGCTTGTCATCATCAAAACTATTTGTAACAGCACTTGCAATGGATTCTCAACAGCCTTTGGTGGCATATCCTTGTGCCCTAGTGTATGGAATTTTTGCACTGCTGACTGTGTTTTGAGTCTGTTCAAGAAAATCTTTCTGATTGTAATTATAAAGTTATAAAACTCCATATGGTTTATGCCTCCCTCCCCCCCCTCTGCCAATGGAACAAAAAAATATCTGAGTTGGATACCAGGCAATTTTTTCAAGGAGGAAACTTGATTCAGTCTTCTACATCCAAATCGACTTGTAGACAAGTGTCAAGATATGTAGTGAATTATAACACTTCAGCTCACAACTCCAGAAAGTAAATTCTCTAAACTGTGGACCTTGCACTTCTCTGTTGGCTAATTGTGCCAATTTTGAGTTCAGGAACATATCTACGCAGGCATATTCTAGGAATTCACCTTGTTTTTTCCAAATCTGTTTACCTGTCTATTGTATTAAATTTGAAAGGTTTATTCATTGTCTTCAGACAAAAGAAGCTCATGGAGAAAATGTTGTCATTTTTACATGAGAACAGTTGTTGACTGTCAGGTTCAAGGGGGTTCTTGAATTCAAATTATATTGTCTCTTTGGACTGTTAGAGCAAAAACTGTAGTTTGTGAATGCATTTTCGCAGCATCTTACAATTATTAGCAATTTATTCATTAGGGTATCAAGTTTGTCCAATTGATTTAAGTATTTATGCATTTTGCCTACATTTTCTTTTATTAAGCTATTTATGAAAACTAAATCTAAAAATATCTTCAAAGTCCTACCAAAGGGGATTAAATAATTTACATCTGGCAAGAAGAATGCTGTCTACAATGCCTAGGTCTAACATTCCCATTCCATGCACTACACTTTAATTGTTAGCAATCAAATGTAGTAGCCAGAGAATCAATTGTTGTTTAAAGAGCATCTTTGCAGCTTCTCTTACTAAGTTTAATTTGATTTTATTTCTTCTTTTGGTAAATTTCCATTGAAAGAGCTGCACTAACAACCTAGGATGTTGCACAAAATCACCTATGCCTTTTGTCTCCCAAGATCTGCTAGTTAATTGTCCCCTCAATCTGTTGTAGGCACATTTCCTTGTAAATTCGTTATTTGGAAATTTGGTGTTGGATCTAAACAACAACTTTAACCTGATAAAATTTGAATATTCTCAGTACCCATTTGGTGTATAATGTATAGGGAGAAGTTGCATGTTGATCACTTTTGGATTTGATAGATGTTACTTACAGAAGGTAGCAAGTCTAAAATTAACCTGTTCAATCACGTCTGAAAGACAAAAATTAGCCTAATTTTTGTTACAGACAGGAACATTTTTATGGGGTTTACAGACACTCTTGAAGCCTTGACTATCTGTAAACACTTTGAGTTAATGAATTTAAAGGGAAGAAAAGCCAAATATTTAAACTTGAGAAATTAAAATGGACAGAATGAACAAACGTTAGGGTGCAGACAATTACTTGGTGAAAACCATGTCTTATTATGTTACGTTTAATCTCAAACCACTTAGGCCAAAAACCTATTTCCAAACTTTTTTATTGTTGAGCTGAATATATTCAAACTGTGAGTTTTCTTGTGGTGATTTTGACAAATTTAGGTACTGTGTTTATTGTATCAAAATGTTTTTTACAACAATTGGCAGTAATGTTGCAATCTGATTGGCAAATTTGATATTGTCGATAAGAATACAGAAATGCTGCTTGCATCAAGGTGTCAGGTAATGGTCAGGAAAATTAATAATAAGCTTGCACCAAGATGTTGGTAGTTATGAACAGCAGGTTGTCTGAGTTTGGCAACTACAGTGTTTTTGTACTCCTATTTGTTGAGAAGTATTTCTGAAGTTGTGATTTAAGGATAAAATGAAAGGACATTGAACACTATTTGATCTTGAAAATCATTTACCTTGGGGCTGCATTGTATGAAGTTGATCAAAAGTGATCCATGATTAACATGTAAGCTTTCATTTTCATTTCAAATTTTCATTTTCACCTCCAAAGACTAAGATCAAAGTCACCTGAGACTGGGAGTGAACTGTCAGTGTGACTTGCAAATCTTAAAGTCTGTACTTGACCCTGGTGGCCCACCCTGCCTGAGCTTATCCTGGTTTCTCAGCATAAAGCGACTAGGGGTATTACATCTTCCCCTAGATGGGATGCCAGTCCATTGCAAGGTTATCCCCGGCATTTCATCAAGCTTCCTGACAATTCACTGGTACTCATTTTTACTCCTGGGTGGAAAGAGACATTGTGAGAGTGAAATGCCCTGTCCCAAGAACAGAACACATTGATCTGGTCAGGTCTCAAATGATTCAGAGGAATGCTATTTACTTTTAACATCCTCAAAAACGTTTCAATTGGTTGGATTTTCAAAAGTGTAAACACCTTGCTCGGAGTGAATGTATAGACTATAATCTCGGGTAATCGTCCTAATAGCGAACATTTTTCTGACTAGCAAAGAACAGATAATGTCGAAGGAAACATTAAAAGAATGTTTTAGTGCCAGACGGCAGCACTATTGTGTTTGACATTCTTTAAAAGCTTCACAAAACACCTCCGCAAATTATTGTTTTGGCCTTTCAGAACGACGTAATGAAGAAACGGGTGTGCCTTCCCTTTCGCAACGACAACAAAACGCTTCATTAACATTAGTCAACCTTAAAGACTTGATTTTGAAATAGGGGAATACCAGTTGAGGTAAATTAATATTTTTTTGCATTTATTGCAATACGAGACCGATGCTAGTTTAGGAGTCAGGTTCATTCTCTTCAAATACAGTAGCAATCGTTGGTGATGACGAGCGGGTTTCTACTTCTGGAGATTCTTGCCGAACTTTTCCCGAACGCTTCGAATGAGCCGAACGAATCCTCGGAAGAGTTGGCGAATCAATTCGCCTTTCCGCCTTATCAAGTTTCGTAAGATCCGTGAAAGATAGGGAACGTTGGAAATTCGGAAACGGAAATGGATGAGGAACGTTCTTGTCAGCCATTAAAGAACTGCGCTTTAGAAGTTTTGCAGTGGCACCTCCTCTGAGAAAATTCCGACTCTTTGATAAATCAGTGTTCTTTCTCGTTCTTGTATTACCATTTCTCTGTTCGTCGGTTGAGTTCGATGCTATGATATCGATTGACTTCGGTTTTTTCCGGAGTTTGAAGGAAGCTGTTAGTTGCCATTCGTAAACTTGATATACTTGTCGAAGTTGATCTTTGTACGTTGTTTGCCCCTTTGTGCGACCAAGATCTTTTTCACAAGGTTTCGAGCCAAAAATTTGACCTGGTTTCTGTTGGACGTTATCTTCTACGAGTGTTCCACGTATGGTACTCTTACCCAGACCATCAAAGTCGGAATTGTTATTTACCAGTAAAATACTTTCCTGTATTCCCCTCGTTTTGGCCCAATCCAGGGCTGTTCTTTTATAATTCCAGTCTCTGCTATTTATACAGGCTTTACCCTCTGTTATGAGATACTTTGCTACGATGACATCTCCGTTCATACACGCTTGCATTAGTGGTGTAATTCCTTCAGTATTTGCCACGTTCACACTTAGTTGAAACTTCTGAAGGGCTAAAACAATCGCACTCAAGATCTTCAAATTTCCAACGTTTGCTGCATAAAATAGCGCGGTGTTTCCTTTCTTGTCTCTGGAATTGATATCAAAATTTCCGGTCTCCTCCAAAAATAATGCAACCAAACTTTCTTTCTGTCTTTTCACTGCGGTGGAAAATGCTGATAACCCTTCGTTATCCTTTATATCAATTTTTGCTCCTGCTTTTAACAAACGCACAGCGATCGCCGCAGCCAAGGACTCTGGCTCAAGAAAGCACAGTTGGATTAAAGCAGTTTTTCCTTCTCTGTCTTTCAAATTCAAATTTGCTCCCAGATCGATCAAAAAGCGAACTTGTTTGAAACGACGTTCAGAAATCGCTTTATTCACCGCCGCCATTTTCAGCACTAGCCGGTTGGTTATCTGAGACGGAAATTCTATTGTCTCTAAAAGTGTTTTCCTTTCCTTAAAGTGTATATCATATCAATTCTCCAGCGGTGCAAGTTTCCACTGTTTTATCCAGCTCTACAGCAGCTGTTGAGTCCCATATACTGAAAGAAGACTTTTAATGGAAAGAAAATTGATATGAAAATGATCTCTGAGAATGTTCGTAGAAAAAATGAGGTTGGAATTTGAATAAAATTCCTTTTCTTTATATTTTTAAATTCAACTAAATTTTTTTCAAACGCATATTCTGCATCTTGCGCGTTGTTGTTTTAATAAAAACAGCGGCGGTTGGACATATTAGCGGGTTATAAAACAAATAACGGGACGAACACCAAAATAAACAATCCCATGTAACATATAATTTTCGGATTATTGCATATTGACACGCAGCTATATTGAAGAGCTCTTAAGCTCGATATGTATTTAGCCAACTTATTATGTCTAACAAAGGAAAAGAAGGCAAAGCAATTTTAATTTTTCTCCCCGTGACATCTGACGGATTTTTACGTCTAAACTTTTCACATTTGCATTAGTTGAAATAATTCCATTAGGAAGCAGGCGCCCAAAAGTCCATATATATTTTAATGATATAAGACAGCATCAAAAGACAGGTATTATTGACTAGTTTCAATTTTTAGATGTTTCAAGAGTTGTCCGCGAAAATAATTTTAGAAGGAAAAATTGTTTAATCCGAAGGTTAACACACTGCGGCGATTCACCCGCTGAGAGCAAAAATAGTTTCGCGTGTAATATAGAGGACTAAAGAGCTGAACTATTTTCTTGGGAAACAACAGTCATCTATGTAATAAACAAGATTTCTTGTAGTTTAATCTTCCACTTCCTAACAATTTGCGGAGACGAAAGTTTTTTCGATAACCTTGCAGATCGTTCCTTGAATTCTCGTTTTTTTTGTCTAACCTCACATATGACAAGGGTCGTATGTTATCCGATCAGTTCAGGAGTTAATATTTTTTAATTCATGGCTATCGTAAACAAAGATCACTGTTTTTCTTTCGACGTGGAATCCAAAGGAAGATAAGTAGATGTGATTAACTTCTTTAACTGCTGTTACTGAATACCGAAGATATAACTTACTTTCTACAGGCCTCGGACTTCCCTTGAATTTGTGATAAGGAACATAATTATTTTGTCGTTGTCGTTGTCGTTATCGTTGTCATTTCGATTTGCTTTCGTTTTTGACTATTAATAATTTCTTTTTGATTAGCTCCTCATATGGTTTTGTTTTTGTTTGTTTGTTTGTTTATTTGTTGAGTCGAGGGGGAATGGGTCGCGCTCGAGGATTTGAGAGCGCAAATGAGAGCTAAGCTCGAGTGCATTGTGTTTGCTATGGGAGTGGGGAGGGGTGGAGGCGATGTTTTTCTGGAGATTGTAGTAAACATGCTTTCTATCATCTTAAGTAGACCAGTGGTGAACCAGATTCAGCCGGACAGCGCAACCCGCGTTGCCGTTGCCATAACGTTACCATTCTCTTGCAATCAACTCTTTCAATGAACTTTTTTAGGCAACTATACTTTGAGGGTATTTGGCTCTAGAAAACTCGCTCAAGTAAAGGAAATCGAGGCCTTTTCTGGATTTTTTTTTTCTTTATTCAACGAACTCCTCGACTGTTCGACAAACTAAATCAAGTCTTATAGACATCCCTAAATACTTTATTAGTGAACATGCTTGTGTTATATGCCTGTCGATCTTGGAGGATTAAATTAAAGCTCTCTGTAGAACTACTAACCCAAATAATTGCAGAAGGTTTGTAGGAATAAAAAACAAAATAATTGATATTCTACGCTATTAAAAGTCGATTATTGAAAGCAAAAAACACAAACAGGAACTTTGTGTTTGGTCCAAACCAAGAGCAAGAGACAAACCCAAACAGTAACTACCTTGTTCCTATTGTTCATTGCAAACAGACTAAATATTCTTTATTAATCTGGTAAAGGTATACACGTTCAAAGCTAGAAAGCTAGACATAACGCACTAATCGGGAAACGAAATGTGAGGCTAAATCATTCACTCTGACGAAGGGCTAATGCTCGAAACATCAGCTTTGAAACTCTTTACGGTGGCCAATTTATGTTATCATGACCCAGTTGAGAATACTGAATTACTCTGTGGGTCTAAATGTACCTCTTGGACAAATAACTTCACCACACAATCAACTTTTTCAACCAAATATTTCTGAAATTCAATATTGCACTATAAATCCATCCAGTGATGCGGGTTCCCTGGATGATCAAAACCCAAACTGGGATTGTCATAAACAGAGTGTTTGTGAAAAGAATATATTAAAAGAATAAGGTATCTTGTCCCCTATAATGTTCCAATTTATTTTTGTAACAGCGTAATCCAGCCACATTTTGCTTATTGCAGCGTTGTTTGAAGAAACTGCGATATCGGCCTTTGTGAAAAACTTCAGAAGCTACAAAAGCGCGCAGCCCGAATTTTTTATGCAAGCATTGATAAGCTGTTCCAGGCACTCGGCTGACGAGAACCAAGAAATCATCCAGCGAAGACTTTGTCATCAAAGGAAAGGAAAGGAACCTTGTCGCTAAAAAAAAAAAGTTGAGGATAAGAAAGGAAAAGAAAAGAAAGCCTTGGAAATCAAAAGATAAGAAAAGAGCAAATAGGGAGCACCTGGGTCAAATAAAACAAATAAGGAAAGAAAAGGAAAGCTTAAAAGGTAAACAATTTAAAAGAGACGAGAAAAAACTTGGAATTGAGACTTGAAAAGCGGAGCAGACAAGATTCAGGCGAAGATTCGTCATCTTTGCGCGAAAAAGCGCGCGAGATTTCGAAGCATTTGTTAAATACGTAAACTGTGACGAGACAATCACTTGTCGGTTTACAATGAGTAATCGTTGTGAGTATGTGACTAGCGTGAATTCTCGTTATGAGAGTTATTTTCGTGGAAGAGTTATATTTTCCAAAAAAATAACTCACGTAACGAGCTAAGGAACTTCTCACAAAGCTGCTTCTTGAGGGATGTCAGTTGGCGGTAAGTATTGTAAGTGTGTCTCCTAAATTTCGTACTGTATACTTGTTTGGAAAGATGTGGATTCCAGACCAGTGATTATTCCAGTGTCAGCGCAAATCACACGTGTAAGTATGTTATGATGCAGGAAACATGTGGTAAATATGTCAAATATGTCACGGGTGCATGCATGTTATTTGTACCTATCAGGAAAGAAGATAATGACAATTTTGATAATTGCAATGCTAAAGATGGTCGAACAACACCAACGAAAATACAAAAAAAAACAAAAAAATTATTAGACTTACTAAACGTCATGACACTTAAAAGAGTCTTCGTTAGAGCGATCTGATAAGTTTGGCTTGAGACACAGATTTCGCCTTTTTCTTGTGTGTTGCAAGACTTGAATTTCATGCCCTTACACCAAAACCACAGTCTGCCTGATCGGATCTCTGTAATTTCTCGAGTTTTCCAGAAGTTAAAGTTTACTCGAGCGAACGCTAGTCGTGCCAGTTTTCAAGATCTTGATTTGACATAACTTTTAAAGATAATTTCGAAAAAACCTGTGAAACTTAGTTCAAAAAAATACCACTAAGGAGTATTTCACAGTTATCTTATCCATTAACCTTACTTTAGAGACACTGAGTTTCAAACGAGTTAGTGGAAAGGCTTAAAAAACCCCTTATTGGCTCACCAGAGTAAAACGCGCCAAAACCCACCAAATTCAAACTTGAGTTTTTGAAAAAGTCAGACGGTGTAATCTAGTCAAACTAATATAGTTAGTATAATAGCTAGGGTGTCATGAAGAGTCTAACAATCGAAAAACATTTTGCAGCCCACCTTCATTAAAATTTTTATAACTCTATGAACTTGCCTAAACATTCGCCAATCTTCAAGTTTGGCCGCCATTTTGAGACTCTGCGCGCACTTCTGATCACGACTTTGACTACACCTCCGTCGTAAATAATTAACCAGCCTTTAAGAGGGACAAGCTCAGGTCGACACTTATCTCCCGCTCATATATAACTAGGTGTTAACGAAACTAATAAAAGCGAAAAGTTATATCCAGAATCTGTCTGATTGCTGATCTGGGACATGACTTCTGCCATCCATACATGGATTTTATCCAGCGAAAACTGCTTTTTAGGTGTAAACAATTTGTTTGGGGCTGTTTGAACCAGGAATTTATCTGACAGACGTACAAGTAGAACTGGATATTTTGTGCCACCGATTAAGGATAAGTATAAAATCAGGTGGCATTTTTCTGACAAAAGCTATTATTTGCATCGTCTCGGAGATAGTGCTATATTATTATTATTATTATTATTATTATCACGAAATCCATTTTTCCATTGACCTACTTTTCATGCCTGTAGAGTCCTGCAGATAATTTTGAACTTATACAAAGCACAGCTCTTACAAGTATTGTGTAGCAGCGGTGGATTTGATCGCTCATTTTGACTTGATTGTTTTGCTTCAGTTTAGCCAGTGATAGAAAAGGCAAATGCCAAAGAAACTGTGGTTCAAAAAGGTTAAGGCGTCTTTTTCTGCCGCATTTTCTTCGGCATGAAGCACCCCCTCAAGACACCGGAGCAGCTTGCAATATTGCTAAAGAGGTGAATAGTAAACATGCCTTGTCCGGTGGAGACGAAGGAACTGGCATTGCGGTGGTAATTGGTTTAAATCCAGTCATTCAGGGTTTTTGTCTGTCTCCTGAAGGACTAAGATACATTTTTGTACTTTTTAAGTTTTTTTTAATAATAATAATAATAATAATAAATAATAACATCTATGCTAGCGTACAGAGTGTGGTATGTTGCTCGCGCCAATTAGATAGTTTGGGGTATGTATCTCGCACCAATCAGATCGCCGCGTTAGGGTATGTATCTCGTACCAATCAGAGCGTCATTTTTGTTCTTTGGTTTGAGATGTGTTCAAATTTCAACAAAGTAATGGGGGATTCGGA